AATGGCTATAGGGACGGAGGGGAGAAGGGAGGGAAACCAGATCCTGACACATAGAAAGTGTCTGAGACAGTTCTCCCAACAGCACTAGAAAGGGCACACGGTAGCAGCACTACGAAGGTGTGCTGATGAGATTGAATTTTCATTTGTGTCTCTTCCGGCTTTGTCATGCAGCTTTTGGTCAAGGTTACAAAGTCTGCAGTCAGTCAGGGCTGGGAAGGCAGCTCAGCAGCATCGCAACTGCCTGCCAAGGTCGAGTCCCTGAGTTCCACTCCCAGTACCAAAGAAAGAAGAAGGAGAAACAGAAAGAAGGAAGAAGGGGCAGGGGAGGAGAAAAGGAAGAGAAAAAAATACTGGAATGGGAGCAAGGTTTGCTCTTGTGAAGCTGAACTGAGACACAGGGTTGACTGCAGACACAGACAAGGCTGAATGTCAGGGTAAACCTCAGTGCTAAGCTCCATGCCGGGCCTGCTCTTCCTTCCTTACCTTTGGTGAGGGCCCAGGAGACTTTGGAGCTGTGTCTCAACCGCTCAGAGCCTGCCCAGTCCTGCACGACATTCGTGCACACTTGCTCTGGCAAGCTCATTCCAGACTGTATCTGCGACCTGCCTGTGTTTCAGCTCTCCTGGCTGGCAGCATAGGTCTATGACCCCTCTTTTGTTTCAGTCTTATTCTTGGATTACTTACAAATTGTAGCTTGCAAGCGTCAGAGACCTACTCAAAGTGGTTTCTAACAAGGAGTGCGAGTGGATGGTTTGATCCAGGGTCCCGAAACGGCATTCTGACTCCAGCTTTAATTTTCCCTGTGTCAGCCTCGTTCTCATGCTGTCTCTTCCCCACTGTGCAGTCCTGGCCTGTGAGCCCAGGTAGGTGCCAGGCACACAGTAAGGGCCGAATTCCTTCTGGCAGAGTGAGCAGGACTTAGTGCTCCACAGTCCATCCTACTCACAATTCCAGGAGTAGAGTAACTCTTTCCAAACCACAGTCCATAGGGCTGACTTTCATGAGTCTGACTTGGGTTTGGGTCATATATTTGTCAGAGTAGGCGAGACTTTGCCATGGTAACGTAAATCCTACAACACCCGTGACTTAGAGTAATAACACTCTCCTGTTTATATCATCCAGTGTGCTTGGAGGTCGGCAATTTTGTTTCAGGTAATCACTAAGATATCCAGGCTCCTCTCACACTGGGACCTTACCATCTTCAATGTGAAGACTCATGGATATTATGTAGAGGCAAAAGAGAGATATCATCATTGGAGGATGCATTGTGTGCATATGTGTGTGTGTTTGTACTCAGGACCTTGAGCTTGTGAGGCAGGCAGCAGAACCACTGAGCTAAATCCCCAGCCCAGGAGGGTGTGCTTTAACAAATAAAAAAGTAGTATTCTTCATTTCTGTCCATATTTCATTTCCTAGAGCTGGCTCTGGGGACAATGGCCTGGTTTGGTGATCACGTCCTGTGGTGTCTTGCTGCAGGTCAGTGAGCCTCCTGCCCCATCATCCTGCTTTGCTTGGCTGGGTCTGGGTTTCATGCTGAGCCTGGGAAGGGATCTGCCCATCACATGGTGTAGGCTGGCTGTGGAGGAGAGCCACTTCCATCCAGAAGTGAAGACCCTGCTGTGGTGTGGACGGGGTTTGTCCCCCCAGGGTTTGTTTGTTGGAAACTTGGTTCCCAGTGGAGGCTGCTCAGCCCTGGGGAGCTAAATAACCTCTTCTCCTTACAAGTTAGCGCCCGGCTATTTCACTGAAGTAACACAGTGCTGACCAGCACAGTGCCTTCCCACACAGAACGGGCGCTGGGCAGGCGGCAGCGATGACACCACTGTCCTGCTCCTTGCTTGTTTCCTCTGTACCCCAGCCAGGTCCAGCAGGTACTTTCTGAGCATACTCAGAAGCTTACGCTGGCGAAGGGGTGTGGAGCAACTCTGGCTTTGTTTACATTGCCTCCAAATAGGTTTTAGATTCCCCAAGGTTTATCAAAATCTAATTTAATGAGAATATTCAAGGTTTGTTTTCCTAACAGAGACTCTGGACAAACAAGAGATTTGCACTTATACGTTAAATACCCTTGGGACAGAGATTTAGCTCAGTTGCACCAAGCTTTCCTCACCAGCACAAGGTCCTGAGTCCGATCCACGGTACTGCAACAAATAAATAAATACCCTTACAGGATTCTGTATAAATTGGACATCCCTAATTGAAAAATGTGAAATCTAAAATGCTCCAAAATCTGAAACTTTTAGAGTTCTGAAAATGAGACCACAAGAGGAAAATTCACAGGCCTTGTATGATTGGCTGCAGTCAAAAGACAGTTGCCCTGATAGCATTGTATAAAATTATCTTCTTCCTTCACATACGAGGCATATATGAAACACAAATGAATTTCAGGTTCAGATTTGAGTCCCAGTCCCCCAAATCTCATTATGCATATATAGATTTCCAAAATCCAAAACACTAGCCGTTGCAAGTATTTCGGATAAGGGATACTTACCTTGCATTTTAATAACATAAAACTGGAGTATGCAAATTGCAAGTGTCATTGTTAGAAAACTTGGAAAATGGAAATGAGTCACCACCTTTTACTTAGATGTGATCACTAACAAACGGCCCACAGCTGCAGCGGCTTTCAGCAGCAAGGGGTTTGTCTCCACTAGTGTTTCATGGAGACTCAGGGAGCCCATGGGAACACTGTTCCTGTTGCAGGGAATACAGAGCTGGCTGAAGAACCTGATGGCTTCTCTGTTTCCTTTTTCTGTTTCTTCATTTTTTGTTTGTTCGTTTGTTTTGCTTTCTAGCCCCTGTGGTACAGGAGATTGTGCCCAGGGCCTTCCTACTGAGATCCTCCAGGCCCTTTTATCTTTGATTCTAAATTGTGAGCCACACCTTTGTGCATAACAAGCAAATGCGTTAGTGCTAAGCTACATTTTTATTTTATTTTAAGACTGGATCTTGGCAAGTGCCCAGAATGGGACTGAGCTTGTGTTTGCCCTGCCTCAGCCTTGCACAGTGCAGGAATACAGCGTGAGCCACCTTGCCCGGCCGCATGGTGACACTTTCAGAGCTCACACTCCTTTGACCGTACCAAGTCCTACAGCCAAGCCCAGGGTCAGGAGAGCGGAAACGTATCCTTCCGGAGGGGCACCGGAGTCACAGACAACTTCAGGGGCCTAACACAGGGAAGAGGAGAGAGAAATACTGGGGACAAAACAGTTGTATAATGAGTATGAAAGTTAAATATTATCGCAATCTCGTTACTCAGAGAGAACCACTGTTTACCTCTTGGTGTATATATTTCAGAATACAGACACCCCTCAGTACTCAAAACCATTTGTCTCCAGGACCACCCTCCTACCCTAAGAGCACCCAAATCTGTGGGTGACCAAGTTCCTCTTATTAAATATGCTGGATGTGCAGGTAACCTATGCGAGCCTCATATATAAACATATATAAAATCTTTATTAAGTTTATTGGTACATTTTAGGTATACAGTAAGTTACATTCATCATTGGGATCTTGTACCTTTACATGACTTATCTTGGTCCTTATTTTTCCCCATTCCCCAGCCCTCCCCTTAGTCCCTCCACCCTTCCCTGTTTACAAAAACATTGTTTACGTGTTTTTCCTTTTCACATATTTTTTCTTTTCCCTTTTCCCTTTCCCCCCTCCAGATGACTTTTGACACCTAATATTATATGAGTGCCACACGGACATACTATATTCTTTAAAGAGTAATGACAAGAAAAAGTCTTCATGGGTATAGTACAGATGCATGATTTTTTTTTTTTTTTTTTTTTTTTTTTTTTGTACTGGGGATTGAACTCAGGTCCTTGTGCTTGTGAGGCAGGCCACGGAACCACTGAGCTAAATCCCTGGCCCACATGATTTTTTTTTAATACCATGGATAGAACTCACACCTTTGTGCATAACAAGCAAATGCTCTAGTGCTAAGCTACATTTTAATTTTGTTTTGAGACCAGGTCTTGCTAAGTTACCCACGCTAGCTCCAACCTTGTGAGCTTCCTGCCTCAGCCTTCTTTGTCATAGCTGAGGTTATAGGTCTGTGGTACTGATCCCAGTCGAAGAAATTTTTAACAAATATTTCTGAGCCATAGTTGGTCACATCTGTGGATGCAGACCTGCAGGTGTGGAGGATCCACTGCAGTTTTTAGCCACGTGTAGCCAAAGTATCTGTGTAGTCATGCTTTGCACGAAAAATTCAAAACATTCAGACTCAGATAACTGAGCAGCCAGCATAGTCAAACCTCAACAGATGAGCTATTCATCACCTTGACCAAACCCAGCCAAAACTATCACCCAGAACAGATTGAAAAAACAGATTAATTAACTTGACCTTGTTAAGTGCTTCCTGTATGTCAGAAAGTGATATTTTGTTGATTTGATTACATAAATTGCATATAAAATCTAACTTCATGTAAAAGTATGTTATTTCCTAAACAATATCTAATTTCTACATTAAACATATAAGGATAATTTTTCTGTTTTGCTAAAAACTTGATAAATGTATTTCAGTAACCACGTGTTTCTTCTATGATTTATAATCACCATACAGCCCCAGGCTCTAGCTCTGGGTTTATTATTATAGGAATCTGAACAGAAGGGAGGGCTTATTAGTGGGCACGTGTACGGAGGGGAGCACAGTGCGGAGGCTGCTGCCCGTCCAAGGACTGCCCCCGGGGATTGTTCGGCCCCATCGCCATCTGAGACGAGCTGCTTCTCAGCCACTGGGTCTTCAGATCCATTGGTGTTGAACTTACTGGAGGCTCCCTTCTTTAGTATCTGGATCTTCTGTGGCAGGCGAACCGGAACCTGGCCCTGTGGAGGGCTCCAGTCACACACTCTGCTGCAGCTTGGTGCAGCACCCAAGGTGGCTTGGCCAAAGTGAACCACCACGCCCTAGGGTTCCCCAAATGACATTGCACCTGCCCAGGGCCTAGATCGGGACCGGTCCACCGTCAGAATAATGAGCATCCATTGGAAAGGGCTAACTTCAGGGTCCCTCGGGCCACAGAAACCCATAAAAGCAACATATACTACCAAAGAGACTGCTGTCTGTAGCCACAGCACATGGAGTCCCCAAGAGGGAAGTGGGCACAATCAGTGCAATGGTCTGCAAAAGACTTTCTAAGGCTTCTAGTTTGCCACAATTGACATGTGCTTGTAAGGGAAATTTCTTTTTATATGAGTGGCTCATAGATAAGGAGGGGTTTGTTAAGGCGATTTGGTCACAAATTATGGAAATCCAGATGATGGAAAAAAGTTAAATCTGCTCGTTACCTACCTTCAAGAAATAATCATGTGGCTATACATTTTATATGTGTGTGTGTGTGTGTGTGTATTAATTTATTTTTAAATTCATTATTTCAAAGTTAAAATTGTTTGGCTAATTTTTTCCTTATGCCTGAGACTCGGAGGGAACTAATAAGATACCTTATGACCATGATGAAGACTCATGGTGCATCTCATCCCAAAATTACAGTGATGTGGACCCCTCCAGCCCTGCGTCGGTGGCCTCCAACTCACCTCACTAATGTCACTGACTGTGCTGAGATGGGCACTGGCCTGTGTCCTGCTGGCAGAGACCCTGGCTTGAATGCAGGTGACGCCTGGGGGCACTGTCTAGGCAGCAGGCCAGCCCTGAGGGGCAAGGTGCCTGGGGGCTACACTGGTTCAGCTGTGCCTATGTGACAAACAGCACTATTCTGAGACCCGGCTCTGGCTCAGCCCTGCTCTGGAAGTGCAGGAGCTGCGGAGGCTGCGCCCTGACTCTTGGCTCCTCCTGGTGCACTTGGATGTGCGGAAAGTCTCGCACCTCATTTCGTAGGAGGGCCAGACAGTGATCTCCCAACTGTGTTTCTGGAGAAGGGTTCATATCCAGAATACACAGAACAACAAAAACTTAACTACAGAAACCTGGTTTTAAAAATGAGTGAAGGACTTGAAAATACATTTCTGCAAAGATGTACAAATGTCCACCAAGCTATGGAAAGATGTTTACTATCACTAATCATTAGGGAAATGCAAATTAAACCCGTAGTGAGACACTGTCTCACACGCGTTAGAATGTCCAACACCAGTAAGAAAGCAAAGAACAAGTATTGAAGAGGATGTGGAAAACTGGAGGCCTGTTCACCGCTGGTGGGAAAGAAAAATGGGGCAGCCATTGTGGAAAGTAGTGAGGGGCTTCCTGATCACACTAGGAACAGACTGCTCCACAGTTCAGCAATTCCACTTCTGGGACTATGCCCCAAGTCATTAAAAGCAGGATCTTGAGGAGGTTTCTGTACATCTGTGTTCAAAGCACCATTAGTCCTAACAGCTAAAAAGTGGCAGCAACTCATATCCATCCAGGGACAAATGGACCAGCAAAACTGAGCCTGCACTCACAGTGGACAGACACCCAGGCTTCACAGGAAGGGTGTTCGGACTCGTGCTGCGGTGTGCATGAACCTTGAGGCCATGGTGCAAGTGAAGAGAGCCAATCGCAGAACCACAAGTATTGTGTGGTCGCCCTTGTGTGAGACATCAGGAGTCGTGAGATTCCTACAGACAGAACGCAGGTCAGGGGGGGTTATGGCGGGGGAATAGGAAATTGCTATTTAATGTTTGTTGAATTACAGTTTTGCAAGATGAAAAGAGTTCTGGAGATGAACGGTAGCTGTAATTGCACAGTATTATGAACGTATGTACTTAGTACTACAAACTTTATTAAGATGACTTTATAATGTATACTTTACCATAATAAAGAAAAAGGCAGGAGGGACAGGGATTTACCTCAGGGGCACCACTGCCTGCCTCGCAAATATAAGGTCCTGAGTTCAATCCTGGTAAAAAAAAAAAAAAAAGAAAGAAAGAAAAAGGCTGGAACTGGGAATGGTGTCACATTCCAGTAATCTCAGCTACTCAAGGGGCTGAGACAGTTAAAGACCAAGCCTGGGCAATTTGTTTTTTTGTTGTTGTTGTTTTGTTTTATTGGTTTTTTGAGACAGGGTCTCACTATGTAGTTGAGACTGACCTGGAACTCACTATGCAGCCCAGGCTGGTCTCAAACTCACAGCGATCCTCCTGCCTCAGCCTCCTGAGTCCTGGGATTACAGCATGCACAACCACACCCAGCTTTTCAGCCTAGGCAATTTAACAAGACCATGTCTCAAAATTTTTTTAATAAAGGAAAGCAAAGAAAAAGTGAGCTGGAGATGTAGCTCAGCGCTAGAGTGCTCGCCTACTTAGTGTGCCACCCTTGGGTTCAATCCCCAGTACTGGGGGAAAAGATCAGAGAAAAGTTTTGGGAACAGCAGTGATTGTTGCACAGCTTTTACATTTGGAACATGTACAATATTTACATTACATTTGGATGTCATTAATACCACTGAATTGTGCACCATAAAAAAATAGAATACTGCAAAATAATTGTTGTCACTTCTGAACTTAGGGTGTAAATGATCATGGCTCTGTCTCCCTTGCTGATGAAGCTGGGGCCACCTTGGGAGTTGCCCTGCAGAGAGGCCCTGGGACAGGGAGCTGCAGTCCTTGGTCTATCAGCCAACAAGTTCCACCAAAAAAAGTGGGTGAGTTGGAAGTGCCTACCACTCAGAGACTAAGAAACACTTGCTTTCCTTTTCACAGAAATGCTTTTTAATATCAAGTACTGGAAAGCAATGTTCTATATTTTAGTTCATTTTCTGATGCTGTAACAGAATGCCTGACACTAGGCGATTTATAGATTTTCTTTTTATCTTTATTAAATTTGTTGATACGAATTAAGTATACAACACAGTTACACTCATCATTGGGATCTTGTACCTATACATGACTTATCAGGTCCTTATTTTTCCCCATTCCCCAGCCCTCCCCTCAGCCCCTCTACCCTTCCCTGTTTACAAAGACATTGTTCTCATGTTTTTCCTTTTCACGTATTTTTTCTTTTCCCTTTTTACCTTTCCTCTACCCCTCCCACTTCTTCTACTCTTTTAGACTTTTTTTCTATTACAGGATATCAATTATGCATTTTAATCCTTATTTACACTTTTACTGTTTCACCCAGAGAAACTATTCAGTATTTACACATGTGTAACTTATTAATTTCATTTAAGACTATGGCCTCGATGTGCACCCACTTAGCTATAAATCTCTCTGGTTTCTCATTCTTTATGGCTGAATAGTATTCCATAAAAAATCCTCTTTACTCAGTCTCCAGCTGATGGGCAACTGGGCTGTTTCCAAGTTTTAGCTGTTACAAACTGTGCCACTGTAAACATGGGTGAGCATATGTCGCTGCCGTATGATTCTTTTAATTCTTTTGGGAAGATACTCAGCAGAGGGATAGCTGGGTCAAATGGGACTTCTAATCCTACTTGTTTGAGGTATCTCCATACTGATTTCCACAGTGGTCTGCACTCCAACCAACAACGAAGAAGGGCTCCTATCTCCCCAGAAACGGGGCTGTGGTGTAGCTCAGTGGTACAGAACTGAGTCGGTCCCGTGTCCCAGGACTGAGGGAGGCAGTTAAGGAGGGTGCAGAGAAGGCTTTGAGAAGAAAACAATGGAAGAAACCAGAGAGACACAGATGGACGGATGACAGGTAGACGAACAGACAGACTTTGGGAAGAAAAATGGAAGAAACGAAAGGCGGATGAGTCAGCACAGCCAGCTTCCAGTTGGCCTTTTGCCAGGCAGCCCCTTCCTGGCCTCCCTGACTGAGGCTTTTCCCTTCTCTTTACGGCAAGCTCCTTCAAGACACACCAGGAAAGTCTCTTCCTGTCCGAAGCTCCGCCGACCCACAGGAGAAGAAATCCCTCTTTCAGTGGGCGCCCTGGGACCTAGGACATTTCCCACCACCTGCCAGTGGGCCAGTCTGCATCGCAGGACCACATCCCCATCAGCACCCAGGTTGAGACCTAGCCCAGACAGGGGCTGGTGCTGCTCAGACGTGGCTCACAGGGCAGAACCTGCGTGTCCTCCCCGAGCAGCCTGTGAGACGCTGGCCTTGCGCAAGCTGCAGGCCCACCCTTGGAGAAGCACAGCCCAGTGGCGTCAGGGCCATGCGTAGAGGCCCAGGGGACGGGAGGGGCCGGCCTGACCTCAGAGGGGTGTAGACAGGGAAGAGCATGAAGTCATGCTTGTTTATGACGCCGGCCATTTCCTCCCGCTGGGTCATACGGCCCTACTTGCCTGCTCAGCCAGCCTCTGACTTATTCCCTGGCATCTCACACTGTCACTCTTGCCACCCAGTTTGGCAGGGACAATAGGGTCAGAGCGTTTTGTCTGCAGTTTGGGATAACGAAGTTCTGGGATGCACACGGGCCTGAGGGTAAGCACCAGAGAGGAGGTGGAACAAGATAGCCTCCTGTTTCCCTGTTGAAAATGGGAAGGAGCCCCAATTCCTCCAGGGCCAGACAGAGGAGATAGATGGACTTCATGCTCTCCCTGAAGCCGTTCACATATTCAAAGCAGTTACAGCTCTGTTGCTGGCCAAGAAAGCCACTCGGTGCTGGGGTGTGTGCACACACAGGTAAACAGGCACACACACACATGCATGAATGTGTGAGCTGTGTTCAATCTGGTGCAGTCAAGACCACTTTGTGGTCTTTGGCAAAGAAGTCTGGTACCTGGGGCACAACCTGCATGTCCCCCCAGCAGCCTGAGTGCCACCACTGCCCTCCCTCAAAAGTGCACAGCCCGTGGTGCCAGGGCCATGCGTAGTGACCCACGAGGGGCCTGTCTGACCTCACACCTCCAGAGCAGGCTCTTCAGACAAGGCTGAGAGACTAAGTCAAGTTCTTTAAAAAAGCAGAAACTTACTGTCGTCAAAAAGGAGCCTAGCTATTCTGAGGCTTTTATTTTTTGTTTTTTGGGGGTTTTTTGAGATACAGTTTGTAAGACCTAAAGTCTCACTTCCACTTCACGGAGCGTGAACAGCCGAAAGGCCTCCACCATGCTGGGCCCTAACACGCAGCGAGGCTCCGGGAACACGACGGAGAACCGAGAAACCCAGGAAGGAACACACCAGGCTAGATGGTAAAGAGACCTTTATTAGTCTGGCCAGACGGCACTCCCGGAGCCAGGTGGCTCAGAGAGGCAACTGCTCAGGGGCTGAGGTACTTTTTATAAGGTTTT